CATTGGCAAATATGTTCTCCCATGCAGTGGGCTTTCTTGTTGTTTTGTTGATGGTTTCCTTTGCTGTGCAAAAGCTTTTTATTTTGATGTAGTCCCATTTGTTCATTTTCTCTTTATTTTCCATTGCCCTAGGAGCAATTCCTTCGGCATATGTTTGCAATTTCCCTGCCTGTGGATTCCTCTAGTATTTTTATGGTTTCCCGTCTTACGTTTAAGTCCTTTATCCATTTTGAGTTTATTTTTGTGTATGGTGTGAGTTGGTGGTCTAGTTTCATCTTTTTGCATGTATTCAAAGCAGATTTTTAAATGCCTATATCTGGTCAATCACTATTTTTGCTGCACTTATGTAAACCATCAAACCAAGTTTATTGAGACTAGATTTATTTTGCAAACAAATTAGTATACTGTAATTATCTTTGGTAAACATGGGGATAATGATTATGGAGAGAAAAATGATGCTTCAGTAGAAACTATAACGCATCTTGGGATGTCTGATTCTAGTCCTGCTAACTGTCTGAGGTTTCGTTTTCTACCTGTAAACTGGGCTGGATCCTGAGTTCTAGTTTCCTCAGGTAATCTGGCTACAACTCTACAAATTAGCATTTCCAATTTTTCCCCCCACTCTATTGACTTAGAATCACTAAGAACAAATTTTATGAAATTCCTAGAAATCTGATATGCCAATGACTCCTGTTTGGACACTCCCTGTGCCTGTTGCGTGGGCCACTCAGAAAGTTGACAGAACACCCGGTGGCATCAGAGACATTCAAACTGCAAAAGATGCTTCATCTAGAGACCTTCTGACTGGCTCAGAATGAGTTTATAATTGCTCCAACTATTACCCTTTGTTTCCACAGAAACACGTTTTATTAAATATCTTGAGTGCTCCCACCCTATAGGCCTCACTTCGGGAGCCCACCTGCAACACTGCCTCCTGAAATGAGACACAGCCATTTAACTGAACTGACCTCTTCTCAAGATTAAGAGACCCATCCAAGGACACAACCCAGCTGTCCATCAGCTCAGCCTCTGGACTGTGGGTTTCCTGTGAAGGTTCAGAGGTAAGACTGCAGGGGAGCAGAGTGCACCATCCAGAATATGCCGCTTTGGCATAAGGGGGTTTTTTGAGCTGATTATTTTTAAGAAATAGGAGACATAGGAAAGCTCTGGAATGTAGAAGTAGGGACCCTTTCGTAGAGGAAATTGACATTTGTAAGAGAAATCTCCATGTGTAAGGGTGTCTCCCTCTCCATACCTGGAAGAGAACGACTCTACAGTAGATGAAACTCATAGAAGGCACCAACTTAAATCTGCAAATCAACCCTACCCTATTTACTGTGCTTTTCATGGTAACAGGTCTTTCCCACCCCCCAACATTAAGGTGACGGCCTGGGCCACTTTCAGGGAGTGACTCAGTTTCCCTGGGTGTCTCCCATGGTTACAGGAGGCAGGCATGTATTAATCTTTTCTCCTGCTAATCTCTCTCCTATTATAGGAACAGGTCCCAGCCCAAAACCAAGAAGGTAGGGGCAAAATTGCGTTTCCTCGCCCACAAGGACATGTAGTAAGTTTCTGAGTAGTTAACTGTTAGGTGACAGCATTTTTCTTTTTAGGAGCAGAACCATGAGCTCAAAGAAACACAACGTACAATGCTAATGGCAGAATGGTGTATTCTTAGCCTCCTCAGAAAGGCACGGCCCACGTGGTGCAGACAGCACATCTGTGATGGCCATCAGACCTCTGGCAGGGTTACATTACATTTGTTAAACAGTTGGGGCTTTTAGCCATTTCATAAGTTTATAAGGCCTGGTCACATACACTTTTCACCAGGATAACATAGGTGCTATGTGGAGCCCATTTACCTTATGTCAGCTTTGGCTTCATGGTGATCCAAATGTGGAAAACCAAATTAGATACCAACATAGTCATTAATTTGACTTAAAAAGTTAGCACAAAAAAATAACCGTTTTAAAAAATCTTTGGTGGCATGTTAAAAGCATCACACTTTTCAGCATAAAGAGAGAAAAACAATTTAAAATGGTCTCAAAATTACAAGCTATAATAAGAAAGCTTAAAACTTATTTTTTAAAACAAAGTTACACAAATTAATTCTAGTGGTCTCAAGGATGATCTCTAAATAAACACACTTAAATTTATTTCTTTAAAAAAACAGTAAATTATGATGGCTTTTTAAAAAATTCTATAAAACCTCAAATTCAATCACTACACAAAATCTTAAGCCGAAAGTCAAGAAAAGAAATATAAAAACAATTTTGAAATCAAGACTTTGAAAAAGTTTTGCTAAATTCAAATGTCTTACAAGCTCCGTGGCCCATCTCTGTCCCTGTGGCCTACAGGGCGGACCTGGTGCGGTACTGCCCAGGGAGCTGGGATGGCGCATGTCAGAAGCTCTCAGAAGGAAAGCGAGGGGCTAGTGAATCCCGTCTCTGGTTGGCGAGGTGTGGGCAGCAGCGTTTAGACGAGGTTGAACTCCCTCAGGTTCAGCTGGAGGATGGTGTCCTTGACGGCAGCGAAGACAAAGCGGATGTTCTCCGTGTCCGTGGCGCACGTGAAGTGGGAGTAGATGACCTTCTCCTTGTCCGGGTTCTGGTCCTGATAGAGCTTCAGGATAAAGTCTCTGGCGGCTTTGACGTCTTGCTTCGGTCCTGGTTCCGAGCACAGTTAGAGGGATAAAGAAGAAAGATGCCACTCACCACCAGGTACTCCCCCAAATTAATTTCAGTGTCCTCTTGTTCTTATTTGGGATCTTTCCTTAAGCTATCTTAGTTCTAGGAAATAGTTTCCCTGGTACCTAAAACTTGTATTTGAGGCAATGTGCTGAAGCACAGTGTCCCAATTTAGCTTTCTGACTTGGACCCCTTTTGAAGAGAGATCACTCTTACTAACTCAGCAGGCAGCAGTGAGCTAGGAGAGGGAAGAGGGAGAATATGGGAACTAACATTGTTAGGCATCCATGTCTGATTTTAAAGCTCGTGGGTGCTATACTCCATGGCCAACACAGTACAAGGAAAAAGGAGAGTTCTAAAACACTGCTCCTCTAAATATCAATGTCAGACTTAGTAATATTTGAGACCTACGGTACCAAAAATCATTAGCAGTGGGTCACGAACTCCCCTGCCTTGGATGGATCATGTAGACGAGGAACCTAGTGTCCACCCTGTGTCTGCAAAGGAGCTGCCACACTTTAACCTACTCATAAGAAGTGCCAGGTGCTCTGACCAACTGGGAGTGCAATCAATGGTAAGTCAGGCACAGTCTCTGCCATCAGGAGCTGACTGGGGAGAGAGGGAGGTGCACCTGCTGGGGATGGGGTGAGGGTTGGAGGACTTGCCTGAGCTGGGTCTTGGGGAACAAACTGGATAGCAAAGGGCTAGCATGTGTGGAGGTGGGAATGGTGAGGAAGTCCATTAGAGGCAGACCATCTAGTTCCTGGGAGCCATTAGAACTCTGGACTAATGTCAGCAAGGTGGAGACCTACCTGTGTATTCTGGGAAATAGCTAATTAGATGAGAGTACATGATTTTCTCTTCCAGAAGATCCTTCTTGTTTAAGAACAAAATCACGGATGAGTTCAGAAACCAGGGGTAGGTGATAATGGTTTTAAATAGGGCTTTGCTCTCTTCCATGCGGTTCTAAGGGAGAGAAAGAGGCACTTAGGGTTAACTAGAAAGAAAAGCAGTACTTGGGACACATGTCACATCACTGGTTCTATCCCTCTGCCCCCTCACCCAGCTGGAGTCTGGGGGTCACTGTCCTTGCCGAAGCTGGTGAACACCCCCATCCCCACCCTCTCTAATCACCCCTCAACTCTAGCACAAATTAACATGTAAGGTATCAGAAAGGCTTTTGTGCAACGTGGAAAAGGAAGGTTCTTGCCCGGATTTGACAAAAGTTTTATGTGTCATTATTAGGATTGTTCATAGCGTCAGCCCTGGGACACCCATTCTATTGGGTGTGGCCTCCAGACTTTGTGTCAGAAGTCGGGGGACAAAGAGAGGAAGACTGGCTCTTCAGCAGGGCCACCACCTTTAGAAACACTGGAGAGAAGGGGCCCAGTGCACCTGTGCACACCTCCCATGCAGTTGATACCGGTGTGCTGGCAAGGGGATCGGGTCTCTAATGTATGGGTGAGGATACTTATTTACAACATTTAAATACTTTCCCAAGCCTGGATAGTAGTAGGACCTGGTGGAAATTATGCAGGACAGTAAAATAGTAACTTCCTGATTTATGGAGAGCAGACAGGGCATGTACAAATCTTATCTAGATTTGTGCTCAATAGAAATACTTGGGAGGGATGTGCCATAAGTTTCTGTTTTCCCACGACTCTCAGAAACATGGGTTCATAGTCCTGTCCAATATATTTTGAGGGATTAAGATATGGAATTTATTACCAGATAGGAAATCCCTCTTGCTTTTAAAGCTTCTTTAAAATTTATTATGATCTTATCAATAATAATCCCTAAGAAACTACAGCATATGAAAACAGTGATGCCTATACAGCACAATGAGAGGATGCAACTCATATCTACAACCAGAGGGAAGAGTCTAGAGTGGCAACCGCTTTGTTTTTCTCCAAATACCTGTGTTTTTTAAGAGAGGAGAAAATGTTCAGTTTTTTTTAGCACATCAGGCTGAAGTTCTTGTCCACCTGACTAATCTTTTGCGTTTCCTGAGACAAATTTGGAGCTAATTTTTCATATTGATAACTCACGGGCTTTCCTTTTAAAAAAATTTTTCCACTGAAGAGCTAAGTGGCAGCCAAAGCTTCTATTCTTGTTTGCACAATGACACTAGTAAATGGGTTGATCGTCCACTAATTAGCTAATGTAACTGTACTCCTTAGAGAAAATTCTGCTTTCAAGAGACACAAGATATTATTTGTTCATGGTTATTACCTAATCCTGGATAGAGCTCTTGACTGATTTACTTTCATGCCCTAGAAGCAAGAGGCATTTTTCGACAGGGTCAAGAGGTAGGGGGGAAGACAACGGGAGGATGAGGGTATCCTGCAGAAACTGCCCCATCCTCACAGAGAAGTGCCTGTGGTGGTCAGTGTCACTGGCCAGGCAACGTAGTGGACCCCGTGGAGGGCACTGAACATCTGGCGGGGTGGGTCAGTCCCAGCTGCCCGAGCTTGTGCCTTCCAGGAGCCCCCCAAACAGCCAGCCCAGCTGGGGACTAGGGGAGGCCCTGCAGGTGGGGATGCCTGTTCTCAGGTAAAGTTTGCTAGAAGTAGCATTGGTCAACTCTGACTGCACATGGGCATTCCTAGGGGACTTGGAAAAGATACCTCAACTCCAACCCAGCAGTAGGAACCTCTGCTGTGTGGTCCAAAGGATGGTAAGGGACCGCACCTCCCCGAGGGCTTTCAGTGTGGGCTTTCAGTGTGCAGCCAGGGCTGAGAGGCTCCACCGCTGGAGCACATTCGATTAGATGCCACGCTCAGGCCGCACACTCCATCCACCAGGCTTCTCTGTCAGGTACCCATGGAGTTCCAGTGGCACCCAAGTGTGAGAACCAGGTTTCCAGGTCAGTGATCCTCAAACTTACGTGTTTATGGGCATCACCTGGAACCTTGCTAAAATGCAAATTCTGATGTATTCAGTCTACATTTCGAACAAGCATCCAGGTGATGCCTGTGCTTCTAGTCCACACACTATACTTTGAGTAGCAAGACAATTTAATATCAGGCATAGAGTCTAATGGCAGAGCCAGCTGGCTTTTTGCAAACTACAAAAATAGGTCTCTGTCTTCCACAGCTCCCCACACTCCCCACCTGGCATACCTCATTGTCACACTCAGCCAGGACCTGGTCGTATTCACTCAGCGCAACCAAGAATATGATGGAGGTGACGCTCTCAAAGCAGTGGATCCATTTCCGCCTTTCGGATCGCTGGCCACCCACGTCCACCATCCTGTCCAACAGAAACACAGGTCTCAAAGGCTGGGTTCGTGGCTCTGGAGGAGGGCGTGCTCATTCCACCATGGAAATCAGTACGTCTTGGCTTCCTCTGTGATCTTCAGGAGTGAAAAGGGGTCCTGAGACTGAAAGGTTTGAGCACCACTGCTTTCGACAATGAGGAACCACCAGGCGTTTCCCAGCAGAGGAGGACGGAGTGTAAGTGACGTTACTGAAAGCAGGTGCAGAGGTCACTCAGGTTCAGAAGCTGCAATTGTCCAGGCAGAAAGCACAGGCCTCCCCTGGGCATTGCTCTACCCACTGGAGGGCCAGGCACCAGCCACCAAAGGGGCAGAACGGCAGCCAGTCTTCCAGGTCCACTCAGCTTCCTCCAGGCCTTTGCTCCTTCCTGTTTCCATGCCTCTGATTTATCCACAAATCCTTTCTCCATTAGGTGGATGCTGCCCCTTCTTCCCTGTAAAGATGTGTAAGTGCCCTCTGTCGCACATGGGAAAGATTGCAGGGCCTCGTAGCCATAGGATCGATCCCAAGCTTGAATGCTACATCCAGGGATCAGGCAGGCCTCTGCTACGTAGATGTATTCTCTTTGGCCAACGTAGTGTTTTGAAGAGCTTTTGAGTTAACGGCTGTTTCACTTAGAACATTTGTTATCTAATTGGAGGATCTGGTCACAGTGAGCCTGCATTTTGTCCCCTAGCGGCTGGCGTCCCTGTGCGGCAGCCATCCCTTTAGACAGGGCCCCTCGCCCTCCGGAAGTGCATGCTCTTCTATAGACGTGCAAAGGCCTGCCTGACCCCTGACATCTTTCCCAAATGGGACAGAGAGCACTTAAACATCTTTACAGGGAAGAAGGGGCAGCATCCAGGGTGAAGAGAAAGGTGGGTTCCTCTCTATTCTAGCACTTGACACCGACCACAATTCTAAAAAACCTGTGATGGAGAGGGCCCATTGCCCTGAAAGATAAGAACCCTTTGGGGGACTTCCAAACCTGCACAGACAAATTCTTAATGGACTGTACCAGGGGAACATTCTTACCGAAAGATGATGTTTTCCAGGTCAAACGGATACTCGATGATGCCAGTTGTGGGCACGCGAACACGAAGCACATCTTGCTGCGTCGGCACATATGACGGCAAGGCGATGCGGTCAATGTCAGTCAGGTAACTGCAATATCAGAGAACAAGTTGCTGAGACTCATTTTACAGAATGGAGAAGTGTTCATCCCACTCCAGGAAGTCACCCCAGCTCAGAGCCACCCCCACTCAGATTCCTGGGGTCCATCAATGACTCTGAGAGCCAGCCCTCCTGCAGTTGTTTCAGAAGGAATGTGGATCAGGATCCCACATGAGCCTTCGGGAAACCTGTGGATCACTGCATCACTTCCGACTGGTTCTAGCTCATCACTGGCCAGAGGAAGAGGAAGTAGAGTCTAACCCCCTGCCTTCCAAAGGCCCTTCCCCTCCCACATTCATCCTCAGCCAAGAACATTGGCTGAGGATGCTGCTCTCTGGCACTTTGCTGAGTGAACTGGAGTTTTAAGAAAACACAAAGCATAAAACAGGCCAGAAGTTCGAAATAACAATGAGAAAGGTTTTCCTGTTACATGGGGAAATTACATCTAAAGTAAACCAAAACTTGTCTTGGATTATTTTTGCCATATACAAAATCCCTGAGCTTAAAGTATATCATTTTTCTGAGGTAAAATAAGAGGGCACTTAATAATGCCTTTTTTAGGCTTAAAAATTTTGTTTTGAGTAAAACAACTAACTCAGGCCCTGGTCAATGACAGAGTTGATTCCGAGCCCAGCAGCCTACTGCAAACTACCCTGTGTCCCAATAAGTGACCCCAAGGCTAATCGTCACTGGCTTCCATATGTGTAGTTTTTTTACTTATACCTGTCTAGTTCCACCAGAAACAGGACAGGTGTAAGTAATGTTCCTTGACATCAGAGAGCACTGGTTGTACCTGCCACCCTCACCAAAGTGCCTGGTCTGTGGCAGGCACACCTCACATTTTGTGCAGTGAATACCTGTCCAAATAATCAGACGTGACCAGCAGAGCAGATGACAACCACTGACCTGGACTAAGAAAATGCAGTTGTCTCTAGTCTCCCCAGTTCCAAAGGCGGGGCAACTGTCTGCTGCAACTCTGTTCACCCATCTAGTCACTTTCAATGTTCTTCTCATACTTGCTGCCCCAGATTTCAGGGCTCCATGGAATTTTATGGTGCCTCCAATGGGTCTTTTCCAAATGGTTCCACATCAAGAGCCTCAGCAAGTGATGCTAGGCTCTGTCCAGGAAGATGCCGGGACGCCGTAGCCGACCAGGCTGTCCCTGGCTCCCAGCTGTCACCCGCAGTCTGCCCTCCTCTTTGGGAAACTGCCTCCCTTCCTTCTGCCTCTTTTCTGAAGTCCCAACACCTTAGCGGGACTCCTTGTATTTCCTTTCCTGCTTTGCACCTAAATGTTCCTGAGCTCAGATCAACTGTGCGAACCTGGATTAATGGATTAAACATTCAGCCTGGGACCAACCCCAAAGGTAAGATTTCAGCTTCCTCTCCTGCTCACTGCCTGGTCCAGGTGATGGGAGTGGATCCCCACCGCCCACACCAGCTCCGAGGGCAATGGCAGCACCTGAAGGGAAGGGGACGTCTCGGGAAAGGACTTCGGAGCCCTCAGAAGATGGAAGGTGATATGGTCCGAGGGGCAAAGAGCTGAGCTGCAGGAATCGTCTCTTGAAGAAGGACTGCGATTCAGATTGTCCAGTGATTTGTCTGGCTGAGGCACTGCCTCAGGAAATTCTTAAGAAAATGAAATTCTGGTCATCTCCCTGGGACCCTTTGCATGCAGGCCCATCTAATTTTTTTTACTCTAAAGATAACATTTAAAACTTGAGCTTTATGGATTAAAAAAAATAGTGTGTAGGCCTTTGCAAATTGTTAATAAACCAAGAGCTCCCAGATTGAACTTCCTCCCTGGATCTTGCCCACTAGAGGGCAGCACATGACCAGCCACTGCTGGCCTATAGCATTGAGATCTAAACTCTGATTTTTAGATTTTAGGGTAATTGGACCTTGGGTCTACTGATCAGGAAATCCAAAGGCAAAGAGGTGTGGAGAGGAGGAAAGTAGAAGCCAGAAGCAGATGCAGTCCTGATCTAAGATCATTTCAGCACCCCAAATGAAATCAGTTCCACCAAGGGAACACCACATTTGCTTTCGCCTCATTGAAAAGGACAGAGGCTCGGGACATGGCTGGGACAGGTGGGTATGGGCAAGGAGAGAAATCTGGGATCCACGGGGAGACTGACGGTTTTAGGTGGGAAGCTTCTGTGAGGTACATAAAACCCCCACCCCAGGCCACTGATTGCTATACCGTTATTATGTATATAATTACTATCATTATTAAAGAGTCATTGCTCTAATGCTATTGCCCTATTATTTCAGTAATTCATTATTACTGCAATTATTACTATTACAGAAGTTACCATGTATTGCCCACTTACCATGTGCCAAGGGTTCTACATACATTATCTCATTTAACCAATGGAAGGCTAGCACAAGACCAGAAATCTTTCCAAATTTCAGCAAATGAAAATGATAAGACGGTTGGCCTGCCCTCACATGTCCATGTGCTGGTCCCGGAGACTCAGCATCCCATCCTTGGCTGCAGGTTGCAGCAGACCAGAGAATTCTGCCGAGAGAGACGGGAGCCGCTGATGTGCCTGCCTCACTCAGTGGAGGGAGCCACACACCCAACACCTTTGGCTTTCAGTCCCAGCAGTACTTGGAGGCCAGTTACACCAGCATCCAACAACCAGTCCCGCATAGAGAAACACTGACCAACTGAGCATCATGGGACTAACAACTTGACTGTCTCTTTAGCATGCTACTTATTTGAATATCTGCACAGCCAATTTAAAAATAACCATTGTCATTGGTGGTGGTGTACCAAGGGTGGGGTAGAAGAAATGGGTGGAAGCAACAAAAGAGTGTATTCTTTTGAGAACTGAAAAATAATAACACCAACTTATCATCAATCTACCTTTTTCCTCCTCTTTAAACATTTTTTTAATTGACCTTATTTTTCAGAGCAGTTTTAGGTTTATAGCAAAACTAGGTGGAAAGTAAAGAGAGTTCTGATGGAGTCTGCCTTTTTTTAATCCTCATCCAAAGATGTTTTTATTGATTTGAGGCGGGGGTGGGGATGAAAGTAAAGAGAGTTCTGATGGAGTCTGCCTTTTTTTTAAAATCCTCATCCAAAGATGTTTTTATTGATTTTAGGGGGGCGGGGATAGAGAGAAACATCGATTGGTTGCCTCCTATACATGCCCCAACCAGGGATCAAACCCAAGACCTAGGTATGTGCCCTGACTGGGAATCAAACCTGCAACCTTTTGGTGTATGGGGTGATGCTCCAACCGACTGAACCACTTCACCAGGGCAAGTCTGCTTTTTATTATCATGTGTCACTGGGAGAAGCACTCAGACAAAACCCCCACCCCAGGCCACTGATTGCTATACCGTTATTATGTATATAATTACCATCATTATTAAAGAGTCATTGCTCTAATGCTATTGCCCTATTATTTCAGTAATTCATTATTACTGCAATTATTACTATTACAGAAGTTACCATGTATTGCCCACTTACCATGTGCCAAGGGTTCTACATACATTATCTCATTTAACCAATGGAAGGCTAGCACAAGACCAGAAATCTTTTCAAATTTCAGCAAATGAAAATGATAAGACGGTTGGCCTGCCCTCACATGTCCACGTGCTGGTCCCGGAGACTCAGCATCCCATCCTCGGCTGCAGGTTGCAGCAGACCAGAGAATTCTGCAGAGAGAGACGGGAGCCAGCCCCTTCTTCACTCTCCCATCCTGCAGAGTCTCCCAGCAATTACATCACGCAGAGCTGGCTATTCACTGGCAGCTGTGAGTCAGCAGAGCATCTGTTTGGCAGCTGTAATCTCCTGGAGTATATATGGTACCCCCGGAAAGGGTGCTCTTATCTTGCATTGCTCATTCTCATTACTAGTCCAACGGGAAGCCAGAGAACAGGGAGCTCTAGAGTCACCTGCTCAGGCACGACCGAGGCTGTGATGAAATCAACATGACTGCACCACATCCATCACAGGAGCGGGAATAACTCTCGGCTCGACTGTGGGATGCTCGGGCAGGCAGGGTCTCCAACAAGGTCACAGCAGGATGGCGCAGTGGGACGTGCCGGGTGGGGAATCAGGACCCTGGGTTCTAAGTTGTGCAGTTGGACCTTTAAGGACCCCAACAAGTCATATGCCTCAGTGTCCTCATCTGTAAAAGGAGCCAGTGATTTTCAGGGGGAACCTGATTTATAAAGTATCAACCAAACGTAAGTAGAATTAACCTTAGTATTACAGCGGATGCCTAATAAATATTTCTTGTGTGCCAAACAGATCACATTGATAGCCCTGAAACCACTACTTCTAACTCCACCCACTGGCACATTTGGCATCATCTGCCCTGTTCTCAGCCAGAGAAAATGACAAATGGAGAACTTGGGCAGCATTTATATGGAGCAGAGGGCTGTCTCCCACTTCCTCCCTCCGCTCTCCACCTCCCTCTTCCCAAAAGGATCAGGTGGTCTCTTCTCACCCTCTAAAGGTCCAGTATCTGTGCTTAGCTCTGCCCTCTAAATTTAAAGTGTCTGTTTTCTTCTCTCTCTTCATGACCAGTCAGGAGATGCCACGAGGGCAGAGTCAAAGTGCGATTGATCCTTATCTCCCAGAACCTAGGACAGTGTCTGACAAAGGACAGGTGCCCTCTATTGATGTAGGCGAACAATAAGCATTTGTGGCGTTCATAAAAACATATCCAACAGACAAAACCACAAGGTAACAATAGCAGAAGGATGCTAGGGCAGGACGGAAGCCTCTGCCGGTCACAGTTGGGAGCTGGGGGACAGGGAGCCAGAGGGCAGGAAAGTCTCAGAGGAGGAAATGCTCTTGGCCAATGTCTCTCACTCTGTTAACTGCTAAGAGGCAGCACTGTGAGAATCATCAGGGATGTTACAAATACATCTACCTCTTCTCACACAATGTAGGATTGTGAAGTGTAAGTGTAAGCAACATTCGTCTCTTTTAGAAACAAACTTTAGTCACTCAGGAAGCCGGGCTAATGGAGGGG